ATGATTCCGCTACAATAAGATCTGTATGAATATTTTGATGAACAAATCATAATCAACTGTCTCTACCCACACTCCGCCGATACATGACGCGAATTCGTACCTAAAATCTCCCAGCGTTTGAGAAGCTTCATTCCAGCCAGGGCCTTTGATTTCTTACCTTTCGAGAGGGACGCTCTACCTAAAGACAGGTCGCAGGACGGCGTGTTTCTGCTCCCCTGATTACTCATTGCCGACGGTCTGTTTGATAACTGGTCAGTCAGTCAGTCTTTGCGAGCCAAAAACACAAAATACGGCGTTTGTCTTTGAGGTGCCGCACCGCCGACTGCATTAGCGTATCCGCTGGTTGTTCCACTTCCACATTCATAAGAGAAAATTACATGGATTACTCTTAATGCCTATTGAAACTTAAAATATTATTTTTTTTCTCAAATGTCTGTTAGCATTTTATGACTAAAAACAGGATAATTTCTTTAATTAACGCATCAAGTTGTAAATTTAATCAAGAAGGACTTATTCATTTCTTATTTACTTCGTCGCCGTCGCTGGTTGGATGGAAACCCAATGATATTAGAAAGAACGGCGGAACTCTTTGAGCTAGGCCCACAGACCCCACACGCCTCTGTTACTATTCTGGTATGGGCACACCGGCGTATTCAAGGGAGGGATTTGAGGCTCCTCGGAGTTTCCCTTGCCGAAGCGTAACAGCTCATTAGGCTTCTTCTACATATTACAGCATGTTAAACCTTCTGTGAAGTGTGCTACCTGGACTAAGCGAGTTCCCCCCTGCTATGCAGTTTTCTATCTCCACGACCCTGGATCCTGAGCCTCCTCCCAGATCTATTTCTGGATAACACCACTGGTTGGGCAGTATCTCAATCTACAGGAAACGATTACTATCGCGAAATCAACCACAACTGTGGCTCCTACAAATCACTTTTATGGGCACCTTTAAAATTCGGACTAAACTAGGAAATCACATATGAGTAAATTTAATGAATCCTAATTGATCATAATTGTTTTTATTAGCATTGGGAGGATTTCTGGAAAAGCAAAAAGTCTATATACTTGGATTTCTGCTTAAAGTGGCTTAACCTACCAGTATCTGTACAAAGTAAGAAGCATGTAGACCAGAAGGCAGTTTTGTATAGACACGGAAAGTGGTTAAACTGAATACCTACTGGTGAAATACTTTTCAGAGCTAATGAAATTAGTTGCAAGAAGGATAAATAGCCAGCGCTAATATGCTCAGCAGCCTGGTTAACTAGTATGCATATTCAGATTCATGATTCCGCCACAACATGATCTGTATGAATATTTTGATGAACAAATCATAATCAACTGTCTCTACCCACACGACGCGAATTCGTACCTAAAATCTCCCAGCGTTTGGAAGCTTCATTCCAGCCAGGGCCTTTGATTTCTTACCTTTCGCCTTTCATTCATACGCAATTGGTCTATAAAATGCTCAAGTTGATGATTCCTTTATTACCAACGGCAGATTTGAGAGTGGAAGGATTTGCGGCGATTTTTAAGATAATGATATATCAATTTTCCTATTTTTAAATCTTCAGAACACAACACTTGAACATACAGAATATACACACTCCTTGTAAAATCTCTCTAAGAATTCTAGTTGCTAGGCTCAAAACTCTTATTGTTATTGTAACCTGTTTATGGCATTTCCTTTCTGTAATCATTACCGTGTATGTTTAGCTTTTGCTCAGACCGCCGTAAAGGAGATCAAAGAAATAAACCGGCAATAAATTATACAGGAAAAAAGGGGGACGCTCTACATAAGGACAGGTCGCGGAACGAAGTGTTTCTGCTCCCCTGATTACTCATTGCCGACGGCCTGTCTGTTTAATAACTGGTCCCCAAACAGAGAGAGATTGAGAGATGGATGAATTTTTCTATGGTAGGTCAAATATTTGGCACTCAAGCCTAGGTTGCGCAAACAATAAATTATAATCCATCAGCTCATTGTTATAATAAGGTAGTGAGTGGTTCAATAAAAATTCAAATGATTATGGAGTATATATAATATAGTATAAAATAATAAAATAAAACAGTTAATTCCATGCAATTAAAATAAAAATAATATCCTCTAAAATACAAACAAGTAATAAATCAATCTAGAATTCTCAAAAAAAAAAAACAGTTTCTCTATAAATCCATAAACAAAAGTAACAAATAAACAAAAGCATTCTTACAAAAATCTAATACGGGCCACGTAGCATTCTGAAAAAAATACATATTGTTATTCAAAATAGATTTCCTTTATACATACAATGTTTCTATACTATACACTGAAAAAAATCTCCGTCCCATCCCCCAAATTGGGAATATCATTTCAAGGCGAAGCCTGACTAAGTAAGTTTTCAAAGAAGATTTGTGAAAACAATTTAGCTGCAGTTTGCTTCCAGTGACAAAAAGCACAACACGAAAATGAACAAAATGTGTTTTAGGGTAGTAGAAGAGAGAAGGGGTATCAAATGATTGACAAAAGCATTTTTGTATTTTCTGCCATGTTTGTGATACTTCGAGCAATCATTGTACGGAGCCGATTTTAATGCATGATATATAATAAACACAATACGCTATATAAAATATCTTACCAATATGCGATAGGATGACCTTCTGCGTCTATACAGGATTGCATCCTAGTGCGCATGCTGTCCACCAAGTTTTTGCAGACATCCGTTCCCCGGAAGGATTCCCATAGCCGCCTACAATGGGTGTCGAGATTATCCCGCCTATTGGGGAGCGGTCCGCCAGTGCTCCACTTTTGGACCATTATACCACACAGGTTTTCTATTGGGTTAAGGTCTGGAGATTTTGCTGGCCAGGCAATGACATTGTAATCCTCTTGTGCAAGATAATTTCGCACCATGTGTGACGTATGAACGGCGGAATTATCTTGTACAAAAGTGATTCTACTTTGTGGATAGAGAATCCGGTATGATGGGATAAAACTATTATTTAAAATGTCCACATATTGTTGCGAGTTCATTCTGTCTGTAAATAACAAGATCATCTTATGAGGGACCGAGGTATACACACGGACAAGAAAAGGGAGCTAAAATGCAATATATTTCGGACACCAAGTGCGTGTGTGTCTGTGTGTGTGTAGGTGTGTGTAGGCGGTACTATATTTGTGGCGACGTGTGTCTTACATAAAACTCTACTGTGGCTACTGCTGAAAATTGTGGCGACTTGCACACGTCGCCACAGACATTTTATGAAATTATTCGCTACTGGCTCATTTCAACCAATGAAATCGCTAGTTGACGAACGTCTGCCTGCCAGTCAATTGTGATCCTCAAGCATTCTTACCGTTGGATCAATTATTCTGCGCAAAAAACCTGAAAAGTGTGTAAGTCGCCACAATTCGGTTTCATGAACAGTGCTCATACACACAAGATTGTGGAGACCATTTATTTTGCGACACGAGCGCCTCTTACTGAAACAATTTGGAATGATTTCACTGTTGCAGTTGTGTTTAATTTCTCATTTAATAGGAGAGAACACGTGTTATTAGTTCTGTGCGTGTTATGATTTATTATAACTTGTGGCAACCTCAGGTAAGTTGAGCTATATATTATTTATTTTCCAAGTAGTCAGGTATATCTTGATACATTTGTACAAATTAATTAACCACATCATATGTGGTAGGAAAATAATAGTGATTGTATATCTTGCAAATGGAGGTTAGGTCAGACGCGGTTAAATGCCTTCTGTTAAAAGTCATAACGGTTTTACCAAATTAACCATATTTTTTGTCTCTAATACGTATTTATAGAGAGAGAGAGGGAGAGCTCATTGTGATGGTTTCATCATGTACAAATTTCCAAAATGTAATACCCGAATCATGATTCATACAAAAGATCATATGTCTGCAGGTAGGGATGGTTTTCAACACCAATAGTTTATTGGTTTTGGACACAGAATAACGTTCAGTGAAGACGAAAATTTTGAGAACCACTTAATGATTTTCATGTGCATTTCGGAAAATGGATTATTGAATGTGTATTTTGTAGTGATGAAAGAACAGGATGGTATACTCAATTTTTCCACTTTTAAAAACCATTCAAAGGAACAGACTATACGCTCTATCTCGCGCGTCCGCATCCACATACAGCCTATCTCGCTCGCACTTACGGGAATGAGATTTTCGAAATTTTCCACAAGACGAAACCTTCACAATGGTCTGGCTCCCTAATGTCACCTTTTTACGAAATTACAACGGTTTTGTCAAAGAAAGTTGACTTAATACTAATGCATCTTCAACATGGGCTGGCATCACCTCAACACAATACAATACAGTGATATTTTATTAAATTTTCAAATGAGTTGAAGTATGATAACATTTTTTTATCAACAACTTAAACAAAGTAAAACGCATAATGCAGACCGATGTTGATCAGCCTGCTCACCTGCCTTCGATTTATTTATTAATGCACAAGTTCACAAAATCTGCTAATCAATCTGTAGTATTGATCTTTTGATCATGGAATCTTGGTCCAATAGTATAAAGTGCTAGACTGGCCATTTATTGTTTGAATCAAAGCGCGACACGGTCAATACTGTCACTTAGTAGGGCGGCCAATTTTCAGGGTTAAAAATGTAGATTGGGATTAATTGGCAAATGATGATTTCGAGTTGCAATAAATATTAGGTATGATAATGTGCTTGGTATCTCATATCTTGTATGGTACGGTTGCACGATGTTTTTCATACTGGTGTAGCTCCCAGTTTAAAGCTAAGCATTGCATCTTTTACAGTATATTCATCTTATTCATGATGTTATCAAGAACAAAAAGGATGGTGACCATGGCAAGGAACCAAGATAACCTGCCTTGTGAGTGTAGAATTTTATTTTCTATATTAGAATGATGTGATAAACTTGTATGGCAGCTCTCTCGTCTTTACATGTTCGCTTTGTTTCTATTTTATTTTAAATGATGCCAATATTAACCAAAATAAGTTGACATACAGAGTAATGTTTTAGTTTGTGCTCGGTCGATAACTCCCTTATTACGCATGGTATCTAAAAACGTTAATTACAATAGATGTGGCTAACAGTACTTCATACTTAAAATATTTTCATTCCTACAGGGTGATTCATAACTACGTCGTGACCCAATTTTTGTTTTCTGTAGTGAAAAGACCCACATTTTATGGCAGATTTGGATAAGCCCTTCCAAACAAACCAAGTTGATTTAATATATATTGCGGTTTTATTTTTGAATTGTTGATATGTTGGAAAATATATCAACAAAAATACTAAGCTTTAATAACTCGCATCTCCGCAACTGTTATAGCTAGAGTATTGAACTCTTAGTCACTAGAATTTTATATCATATTGTGTTTCCATCCATATACTTTTCTCTCTCACTCTTTCAATTCTCTTTCACAATTTTTTTGATATTGGACCTAAGGGAGCTTGTACGACTGGTTTATGACTTACCGCTAACCTTTTTTCAATGTGAATAACTAATATTACATTGACTTTCAAAATAAGAAATAGCATTGAAATGGTAATGACACATTGTTAGAATTTGTGTATTTTTATCGACAATTAAATCTACCAAACCTTATGCATTGAAGTCGGACATTCAGGAAGGTGTCCTTGTGTTTTTAGTAAACTAAAAACCAGTGATACAAACACGTATTAGACCTATATCAGAAAAAAGCTTGTAACGTGTAGAATCAAAAGGTATGAAAATATAGTACACAAAGATTATCTTTAACTCATAAACTAGTCATACAAGCCCTATAAGCCTGATTAAAAAAATTGCGTATTCGACCATCCTGCATACATTATAAAAAACACCAGTAAGAGTAAGTAGGTACAGACAAAACATAGAATCATGAAATTTCTCTGACGAAAAATTCAGTTCTCCAGTTATAAGGGCTATAGCTTTTTTTCGATAAAATGTCCAGTATCTCAACAATTTGAAAAAATGACTCTGTAGTATATAAAATTACTTCGTTTCAAATGGCCTATCCAAACCTGTCATACATTGTATAGAAATATTTTTTAAGTTAGGAGCATACTGCTATACTCTCCCTGTATATCATAGTTTTTCAAAATTTGGTAGGCCGTCGCGCCTACAGTGAGTCGAAGAGCGTCTAATTCATTCACCAATAACATTAAGTTGATACATATGCAAACAACCAATGTTTTTTAAGCCGTTATATTATTGTCTTACATCTCGTAACTTGCTAAATCAGTCCAGCTTTTATTGAATTATATCTATCATTGTAGATCAAGAAAATTACTCTGTCTACTCAGAGGATAAGACTGAAACCGAATACCTTCCGTCCACTAATTACGGTTCCTCCGCGGAAACACCGATAACAACTACAATTTACCCTGAAGTGGATCGAAAAAGAAATATGTTGAATCCAATATTTGACAATCCTTCAAAGGCTGACGAAAACGAATCGGATGGAAATGTCTACTGGGACCCAGCGAGGGGATTACTGAGTATGCCTTTAAGCCCTTTGAAAGGAAATGAACGAGTAGAGAATTGGCTGCAAACCCCTCAAAACGATGCCCTTAAATCTGTAGAAACCAGCTGTGAAGATAAAAAAAATACACAATATACTGGAAGCGTAGAAGGGGTCAAGTCAGACACTATATTGAACGCTGGGAAAAAAATTGAGATAATACAAAATATTATTTTGAACTCTGATAATACTCGCAATATATTTTTACCTGCGGATGAAGTCAAAACCGTGAAAGAAGGGGCACGACGTGGTGAAAGCCTTCAAAAGGGTCAGAAAGCAGAACTGACGGACATAGAAAAGCGAACCCATTTTGAAGACGTTATTCCTAGACAAACAGATTTATTCGAGGAAGAAATTGTAATAAATACCGCAGAAAAGAAGGAGGGTAAGAGGTTCAGGAATAAAGTGCATTCATGTTATTTTTGTATGAAGCTGTTCCAGAATGTGCCAAGACATTTCGAAACGATTCACTCATCTGAAACAATAGTTGCCAAGGTATTGGCAATGGAGAAGAACTCCAAAATAAGAAAGAATGCCTTCGCAGAGTTGATACGGGTAGGTGACTTTAACCACAATTGCGAGGTTTTGTCACTAAAAAGAGGAGAGTTGATCCTAGTTCGGCGACCCACCGAGCTAGAGGCTAAGTCTCTATCTTACAGCGATTATGGACCCTGTCCCAAATGTTTGGGTTTTATGCTAAAAAGACACCTCTGGCACCATACCCGAAATTGCGAGCTTCAAGGTAATGGAGAACCAAATGGTAGCAAAATGGTTGTTGCAGAGAGTAATGCAATTCTGAACGAAATATTTGGTAAACAGCTTTCTAGAGAATTTTCATTGGAGATACTTGGGAAGATGAGAGAAGACGATGTTGGAAGATGCTGTGTTAATGATTCGCTTATAATAAAATTTGGCGCTCTCATGTTTGAAAAATACGACGTCACTCAAGGGGCTCTTATTCGCCAATCAATGCGTCAACTAGGTAAGTAAGCTTTTTGCTGTTGTAATGCTGTTTAAATGAGTATGTCGTCAACTTAAATACCTTTGACATAAATAATAAAATAATTGTTCATGAAGCATGAAGCAGTATTTAAATAAAATTCTTCTGTTTTTTCCAAATTAAAGGTGGGGATGCTTAATTATATAAACTATATGTGAAAAGTAGCATAAAAAGTATTGTCTCCTCTTCTAAATTCTATATCATGCTGATAGAACTCTCCATGTCTTTACCACATACATTTTTCGGATACCACGTTTTAATTTGAAAATGTCCACAGTGGTGGCCCAAATTTCAGTAAAAAGTAATTTATAAATATGTAGTTTCATTCGGTTGAAAATTCATGGAGTAAGTAGAATATCGCTTGTTCATTAGGTTGCTTTCCCAACGCGGCATCAAAAAATAATGATGTTGCAAGGTTGCATATTATTTGCAATTGTATCGAAAAATCACAATTACAGGAAGGCTGTTATTAACTTTGAATAAGGAGAACGGGACCCAGCAGAATCTCTCAGAGTATATAATTCCCCAAAAATTTGATCAAATCGTTAAATCCACGAAAATACTTTGTGTTACTCACACCGACAGCGTTAAGAGACCCGAGTTTGATACACCATCCTTAGCTCTGAAAATTGGATACTCTCTCAAAAAGTGTGCTGCAATACAGAGAGGTGTTGCACTTAGAAATGGCGATCTTAAGAAAGACGAAATTGTAAAAGCGTTTTTAAACCTTCTGGAGATGGAATGGGCATCACGCATATCTTCCAATGCTCTTAATACTTTGTACAGCCGAAAGATGAACAAAACTCAACTACTACCTATCACTGAAGATCTGTTAAAGCTTAACACATTCATTAGTAACTCTATCAAAATGTACAAGGAACGCCTACAGACATTTTCAGATTCCGAAAGCTGGAAAATGCTAGCGTATTGCTTACTGGCAAGAATAATACTTTTTAATAAGCGCAGATCTGGGGAAGCCGCAAGAATAACTATAGATAGCTACAACTCAAAACCTCAATGGAGTGAACAATCCACGACTGAGTTGAAAAATTCCCTAACACCATTTGAGGTGAAACTTGCCGAACGATTAGCGGTAGTAGAAATTCCTGGGAAAAGGGCCAAGAAAGTACCAGTTCTTCTTACGGATGAGGTTAGGGTAGCGCTCGACTTGTTAATATCAAAAAGAACAGATTGTGGAATATCTGGTAATAACCCATATATATTTGCTTGCTCGAAGAATTCGACTCAATCCTTAAGGGGGCATGATTGTCTTTCGAAGATGTGCAAACTGGCTGACTTGAGAAATCCTGAACTGATTACAGCTACTAAGCTAAGAAAATATGTGGCTACCGTATGTCAGGTATTTATGTTATAAAAAAAATGTCATACATTATCTCAACCATTTTATGCAAAAGTCGATTGAATTCATTATATTGCTTTTCGGACACAATGAGCAGATTTTACTTTCAGTTTTAGTAATAATGCATTATAGCTGAATGCTATTCAAACAAATTTTATTTCCATACTACACTATAAAAACGATTTTTAAATTTTCAAAAACTACAGCACCTCTCTAACCACCCATGTGGGAGTCCATTGTATTTACGAACTGTGTGCAATAAATATTGAATCATGTTAGATACCTAACATTGATTTTGTATTATTGAAGTAAGGATAAATTTTGATATTGTGAGATGAGTGGCTAATACAAAGCTCAATCAATCCGGAACCAATTTAACATACCCGCTACCTAACTCACAGCATCGGAATCCATCACCAACTTGACTTTAGTATTACTGCAACACCCCACGTTATCTGCATTTTAATTTTTTCTTGATCTTAGGAGGTTGACGCCGGTTTATTTCCCACGCTACCGTCAAAGTTTTGTAATCGTGAAAAATGTCTAAAATGAGATATTGTCTTTTGGATGTTAGACGTATATTAGAAAAAAAGATATCACTCATTTCCATCGCACTGTCGGTCTATCTATCTGTGTGCTTATCCTTGACCGCGCTATGATTTGGAAAGGACCGGACGGATTTCCATGTAATTTGCAAACAAGACTACTACTGTTCCAAAAACAAAAATGGCCAAACTCCATAATTTAATTTTGTTCAAGCAATATTGTTTTTTACTGATACTTATTCTAGTTTGTGATTTTATACAAGAGTACAGAGGGTTACAAGAAATCGAATAATGAAGATGCATAGATATTTATACAAAGTCCATTTATCCAGAGTTGCGTGGGAAATACCGAGTCAATCTACTAGACATCAATTCTTATAATACCTTAAAGCATGTTATTCTATATTAAAGGTGTTTGATCTGACTGAAACCGAATCTGACTGGTTAGCAAGACATTTGGGCCACGACATACGGGTCCACAGAGAATTTTATCGCTTACATGAGAGCACCGTGGAACTGACCAAAGTTAGTAAATTGCTGATGGCGGTTGATGAAGGAAAAGTGAGCACCTTCGCTGGGAAGTCACTAGCAGATATAGACATAGACGGTAAATGATTTATCAACATATGTAAGGTAATTTAGGCATATTTCTTATTTACTGGTGCGACACGATAAAGGTAAAAAGCACAATTCGTTACCGCTTCAATATGGATAAGTAAGGTATCAATTTTATTCCTTACAGTTTTATCGCGACCCTACGACAAATGGGGAGAGTTTAGGCTTTTATATTTACCAGCGCTTATTGGTAAATTGCAATCCAACCGACCGCATCAATAGCAAATTTCCGTTCAAGTTACTTTGTCTAGGAACTAGAATAAATTATCAAACCCAATTAATAACAGGCGAAACTCAAATGTAATAAGTCAGCTGTGTTTGCAGATGTACCACAAATAGAGAGAAATGGTGACGTGTGTCTTACATAAAACTCTATTATGGTGACTGCTAAAAATTGTGGCGACGTACAGAGGTCGCCACAGACATTTTATTAAATTGTTCGCGATAATTAGAAGCTGCAACCGAAAATTACCAACCCAATAAATAACAGGTTAGTTTTAGATGTAATAAGTCAGTTGCTTGCAGATTTACCACAAATAGGGGAAAGTGAGAATGGATCGGATTGTGAGGCAGAGTTGGACGGTCAAATTTCACCGCAAGACAATCCACCTACAGAAGTCTCAAAGAATGCATCTCCTACAGAACTCCCAAAGAATGCTTCTCCAAAGCGGACTTTACAGAAAAGAGGTAACCTTAGTTTAAATGCACAATTTATACCTATATTCATCTATGCTTCGGATGCATAAGCAATCGCGAATAAATCCTAATCTTATTCAATGAGGTTTTTTTGAGATTTCGGAATGTCCCAATCACGCAGCTTCATCTCAATTACTTCCATTGGTTTGCCTGACGCTCAGATGTCGATGGTACCGGTCCATTTATTTGTCGGTTCAGCGGCATTTGGCAAATTGACTGTGGAGCAATAGCTTGTACTGATTTACTTTCTCGGGAACGCTGTAGCTTGAGCGACAGTAATTTTCTTACAACACGACTATTTTTCTGTCTTAGGTAAACAACCATGGACACCAAAAGAAAAGGAAGCTGTCCTGACCTATTTCAAAATTAATATCAGGAACTCAATAGTACCAGGGAAAGTAGACTGCATGAAATGCATCGAAGCACATCCTCTGCTGGATCAGAGAGACTGGAAGAAAATTAAATATGCAGTGAAAAACGTCATAGATAAAAACAAAAAGCTAAAAAAGAAACATACAATGTAACAAGTTTTAATTTTGCGGTTTTTTTTGCTCTGCAATACAGTAAGAAGGGCCTGTAAGGCTATTTGTTGAACTAATTAATTTTTTAACGAAAAAAATCCTAAATAAGTTTTATTATTATTCTATTCATTGTGTAGCTACTATTAACATGCACAAAATAAAGCCTTAAGGCATGAAGTTCATGAAAATTGGCCTTAAAGAATTATTCTAATAAATTGTTGTTTAATGACTCAAATCGACTGAGACTTCCTAGGAGAGACCAATTTTTTCATACCTTTTCGCCAGGAAACAAACCAAGTCATAAAGACGCCTTAGAGACCCTCCTTTTATAAAGATGTAACTGTACGTGTTTATTTTTTATTTAGGAAACTACTTTACGCTTATATTTCTTGCACTGTGAGAGATTTTAAGTTTTTGGGTGGGTCCACATGGATCCACAGTGAGAACACGACTATTACCATAGATCAGACAATATCAACACGACCGCACATAAAACCTGATTTCATTGGTTGCTAGGAGCTGTGTTATAATAACCAATCCGTATGCGCGTATCTTTGTGGACTCACCCTGTATATTTTTTATGTTGTCTGATTGTGTTCACTGACATTTAAATATTAAAGTTTTGGATGACATTAATTGTTTAAAAAATAAAGAATTAAAACTATATTGCGCCTGCCATCAACCGCATTTCATCCTCATACATTTTTGGTATTATCTTGAAATACCCAGGATTCTTGAAGTACATCCTACCGTATACGTATCCTTAAAGCCAATGAGAGTATCGTTTGATATGTGCTTGAATATCACTTATATATCATTGTGGCGACAAACCGATATGACAACATTGCAAGAACTAAACACTCCTATTATGGAGACCTGAAGGTACACACAGCTCATCTTTCAATATTAGTGGCTACTCATACACTCTGTTCACAAATGTAGGTTGTTATGACACCCGTAGCCACAATATAATTTAGCTGTTTTTAATTGTTAAACGGAGTGTATACCGTTTTTATTGATACCAGACTACTGCGCAAGCACTGAAGAATGTTCAGGAGAAATTTCATCGAAATCGCCACAATTGAGGACTATTCACGCGTCGCCACAAGAACCTAGGCGCCTGTATGTGTGTGTGTATGTGTGTGAACATGAAATGAACAATTTTACTTTGAGGGGAAACTGAGAACAAAACCTCAAGAATTTTTCATATATGTTTTTACAGTTTCGGGTGATGCTAAAGAAATCACAAAAGTAGATCTCCAAAACTGGGGATTTTCGTGCAATGCATATGTTATATAGAGTCTATTTATTGTATTTTACTGTAATACCTAAAACTCATTTTGTGGTTTGGGTCTGGGCAAACGAAACCACATATGTTTGAATTACTTTTTCACTGACGTTTCGGACACCACGGTGGCTTTTTTGGATATTTTTTAAAATATATAGATTAGAACAAGTAATTTAAAACATAATATATGTATGTGGTTTCGTCTGGTCAGGTAATTATCGAATCTTATTGCATTTTCTGTCCCCTACCAAGTCCTAGGAGGGATATGGTATAATCGTATAATACCAGTAATCTTTCATAAAAATTAGCTTTTCCAAGAAATTATCCGATATCAACAAAACCATCTATTGTGATCATTATTTAGATGTTAGCAATTTTATTCTGTTACTTAAAAGCCTACTGCAGTGACATAACTTAGTCGTAAAAAAATACTCAAAAGCAAGAGCTGCTATTTTGAATTTTGATGCAACGCATTCGGTAATTCCAAATGGTTTTGTATTTTAATATAACTCTTATGGGTGGTGCAATGCCGGAAACAATCAATTGTGCAAGGAGTAAACTAGATACTCGTAAAATAATGAGCACGCAGCGCTACGACGAAGTCGATCAAGTGGTTCGACTAGCAGCTCTTGCTAACTTTAGAAAAGTATAGTTGTAACTTAATTATCTCTTACCAGTTATACTAACTAAATCCCCTGGTCCATCCGCCGTCATCCACCCCCAGTATCCCATTGTCGTCCGACCCGTGGTTCTGTTGGGGATTATGTTTGCTGGGTCGTATCTAGTGTTGTTCCGACGCCATAGCGGCGGTCGGTAATCCGTATTAGTACAAAAATTTTTTTCATCGGAGAAGACTACGGTGCTCCAGTCCCTATTCAGGTTCTCCTGGCAGAACTGTAGTCTTCTCCTTCTATGATCCTCAGTGAGCAATGGCTTCACTGCCGGTATCCTTCTGTGGATGCCTTCCTTGTGCAGATATCTACCCACTGTCGTTCTATGACACTGTAGCCCCAGTCTATCTCGCATTGCGAGCGCACTACAAAACCTATTTTCGTCATTGAACGCAATCAGCCTGCTCACGTCTTCATTTGATAAGACGTTGCGTCTGTGGACATTTGACCTGTCGGTTTCCAAACTGCCACCTTCCCTATTCCGCCTAATCCAGTTTTGGACTTGTCTTAGCTAATAGAAAAAGTAACATTCAGAAAAGTGTACTATGATCAAAAAGACTGTATAATTTACCGACATATCAAACTGATCTGCTATCTCCGCGCTGGATATTACCATCTCATAACATTTGATGATCATTCGTCTCTCACGCGGGGTTGTTTGTTGTCGAGACATCTTTCTTCTACAACACTACTGCGCTACAGAACACTCAAACAACAACTGAGAACTGATTATCGAGGCTAAATCCACTAAATGTAAGAGTTAAATAGAAAAATATGACTTTTTTTCTAGCTACTGTCAATTTCTTTGTGAGCCATAAACACAAAATACAGCTTTTGTCTTTGAGGTGCCGCGCCGCCGACTGCATTAGCGTACCCGCTGGCTGTTCCACTTCCACATTCATAAGAAAAAATTACATGGATTACTCTTAATACCTATTGAAATTTTGTTTCTCAAATGTCTGGTAATATTTTATGACTAAAAACAGGATAGTTTCTTTGATTAATGCATTAATTTGTAAATTGAATCAAGAAGGACTTATTCATTTCTTATTTACTTCGTCGCCGCCGTTGGCTTAGTGCAATCCCAATGTCTAAAGTGGCTGAACCTACCAGTATGTCTACAAAGTAAGAAGCATGTAGACCAGAATGCAGTTTTGTATAGACACAGAAAGCGGTTAAAATAAATACTGGTGAAATACTTTTCAGAGCTAATGAAATTAGTTGCAAGAAGGATAAATAGCCAGCGCTAATTTCGTAAACTAAACGTTTTTCATATTTATATTTTATACGAGAATGTTCAGTTTCCAAACGTAACTAAGTTCGGTAGCTTAGCACTTACGGCTTGTCTATTCAATACCAAACATCCAACCTACCATATCAGAATTAATCAAACAACCTGCTTCTCCCTGAATATTGAAATTTGAAAGAAATATTTTGATTTACACAAGCCTGAAGATATATTACAAATAAAGATTTAATCTGATTTGAAAATCACACCATATTGGGAATTTAATTAAGCTTACACCTGATCAACAGCAATAGCCCACCGCCACTGGAGACAACCAAGCCACGCGCCTCTATAGAATGCGGTACCTTTTATCTATAATTTATTGCTCGGACATTACCTTCCAGTATCAATCTTGCTTTTTAGACTGTCTTCGGTGCTAATACAACGTTGCAATTCGGTATTTTTGGAGGCCAGAAGATGCAAGAGGTATGTGCAAGTTGGATTGCTCATCTTTGTACATAGTGGCGGTTGGTTTTTCAATTTGACTAATTGTTACCGGCTTCCAAATTTTTCAAAAATAGTAATCATACTGGTATGTTTGGTATTCCAAGGTTTGTATTTTTTTAAGTTATTTGTTGTCAATTTTAGCTGCTGCTGGAAACGTGACATCGCAACAGCCAAGAAGACGACAGAAAACTGTATTTTCTTATGGATTAGGAGGGCCAAAGGAATAAGAAATAAGATCCTGTGAACTGAACATATATAACATTCAGAGGAGAAATATCCATTTGGTTTGCCAATTACATATAATATGTAAATACAACTACAACTACAAGATTTTGAGTTCACTCTTGTGTTTTTGTCACACATTTATGTCCCGCAAAATGCTCGAATGGCTCCAATTTTAGTTGCTTCAATTTTTTAAATTACGCTTTCATTTTTCAACGATTGTTGATTTTACTCCATGTTTGAATAAATATCCATTCCAAGCACGTGTTAAGTCCATTTTGAACAACTTTCATGCTGATTCAATATTTTTAGAGATACATACTTGAAAAGGCTTAATATGAACTGTGTCCACATAAAGAGGAAAATTCAGGAGAGTTTTTTGAAAAATGAGCACGTAATTTGAAAAGCACCAACAATTATCGGCACTTCATAGTTGGCTTTGATCTCCATTTAGGTAGTTTTCTTAGTTGTCTCCTACAGTGGACGTATATTTCTACTATGCCTGTTTATGGATGTACACAGGATGTACATTTTACTAGAAATCAACTAATAATCAAAACGTTATAGTATGTTTATCTGAATATGCAATAAAATATGGGGCGTTAGGCTTTTGCAGATTTGACAGCTTGTTACGATTTTTTTTTAAATGATGATTGGTTGTTGAGTTATGAGCGACTCCTGCCAGTTAGCCATTTTGTATTCCATCTGTTATTATTTGCTATTGTTATAAGGTTCCTTGTTGCTGTTGTTTCTTTTGTTTTATTTATGCGTTGCTCTCTCAGTCTATTAGTGTTGGTAAAAATGCCTAAATTTGGTGTTCCACTATCGAGAATACTATAAAAGCAAGGTTAGCATTTCGCAGCTTTATTATACAGACACCGTCTATGGTCCCTGCTAAACGAGAATATACTGGGCGGCCCATTCGTATTGGTGCAAATATATTTTTTTATAAAAAGGGTCTCAACACCTCATTTTGCTCAAACAACTATAATCTACAGTCTAGGAACTACAATTTTTCTGAGATGCATTCCAATAAACACCGTTTTGATATCTTTCGCAACTATCGATAATTCTTTTTTGGTAAAGGAAGCAGATAATTCTGTATTTTTCGGCGCTTTTTGGCGTAGTCTGCTTAATTTCTTTTTGATGTACCATGTGTGTAGTTGATCTCGTGGGGATATATATATTAGAGAGAGAGAAACAACTATCTGCCGGCTGTCTGATTTGGTGTACCTAACCAACGGATCTTCAAGGAGGGCTGATAAAGCTTGTCACATTCGTTATTCCATTACGGGATGTAGTCCTTTCATAAGTCACTTGGAACCCATTCATACGCTGTTGCAATAATGCCATTAACAAAACTACCACGATTGTTAATTATAGAAGATCTTGTGAAAGGCGATCTAGATTACTTTTCGAAAATTCAACCTCGATCTGGGAATGGGCCTAATTATGGGTATTTGTATTCCTGCCTTCTACAAAATAAGGCTGCGTTGACTGTGTGGAAAGTCTCCGAGCAATTCTCTCACAATATTGAGGAGTTTACTTAAAGTATATTGTGTTACAAAGCACTGGTCGGGATGGTACTCCCTATTCCACACTGCGAAGCTAAATGTGCCCCAGCCATTGGCATCATTCATAAAGCTTAGGCTTCAGACCATTTTTAAAGCACGTCTCTATTAATTCTTATCCTTACTGTTGTATTTCCACATAGTGTGGTTGCTATACCCTGCTTCACGAGCATCCATCACGCTTTGACGTTTACAGAGGTGAACAGCTGATCTGCAAGTGGCATGATTATCTGCAACGTTGGCAATAATAGCTCGGGTATAAATTTAGTAAAACTTGTTTGTGGCGTTTTGTTTTTTGTATGAAAATGAAACTTTCCAAATAAAAGAGCTATTAGCAAGTACAAAATGAATCTGTAGCGTACAAAAAACCAAAACAAAATTCGTCCGTCTACTTGGCGTTGACGGATCCGTCAGAATTATGTGTCCTGTGCCGATATGGGGAATTTTGATTTATTACTAGAGAACCAGGTCATTCTACCGTGATGGACACTCGGGAAATAATATCATAATCACATAGGTAGATTCCAGGATTGTTAACTGGCGCCAGGA